GGGCCGTGGCGGAGGGCGGGGCCGGGGCCGGGGCAGGAGGCGGGGCAAGAGGCGGGGCCGGGGCAGGAGGCGGGGCCGTGGCGGAGGGCGGGAGCGGGGGCCGGGGCGGGGCCTCGCCTGTCGCGTAGCAGCGCGACGCGGCGGCGGCGCCATGGCGGGGTCGGCGGCGGTGGCGGAGCGGGAACGGGAGCAGGCCCGGGAGCAGGAGCGGGCCAGGGAGCTGGAGCAGGCCCGCGAGCAGGAGCGAGCCCGGGACGAGGCGGCGGGCGCCGAGGAGGCGGTGAAGATCATCTGCCTGGGCGACAGCGCCGTGGGCAAGTCCAAGTGAGTGTCGGCCGCCGGGCGGGCCCGGGGCGCGGCGCGGCCTAACGCTGCGTTCTGCCCGCAGGCTGCTGGAGAGGTTCCTGCTCGACGGCTTGTATCCTTGGCGAGCGGCGGGCCCGGCGCAAAGCGGGGTTCTGAGGGGGTCCCGGGGCAGAGCAGGGCCCGGGGGGCTGGGGCAGAGCAGGGTTCTGAGGGGGTCCCGGGGCAGAGCAGGGCCCGTGGCAGGGCAGGGTCCAGGGGAGGTCCCAGGCGGTCCCGGGGCTGAGCGGGGTCCCGGGCAGCAGGCCGTGCTCCCCGTCGCTCCTTGACGCACCCCAGCCGCCCCCAGCAGCTCTCCACATTTGCGCTGACACTCTACCAGCACCGCACGCACGTGCGCGGGAGGCCGGTGCGCGTGGGTAAGAACTGGAGCGTGTGGGCAGGGGCTGTGCATGTGGGTGCATGGGCTACTTGGGGTACTTGGGGTGCTCTGGGGTGCATGGGGCTAGGTCGGGGTGCATGGAGGTGCATGCGGCTGCGTGGGTCGCGGCGGGAGGCCCCGCAGCGGCTCCTGGGCTGCAGGGACACAGCAGCACTGGCGCTGTGGGCAGCACGTGGGAATCTCCTACCCCTGGTGCCAGGCCTGGGCAAGGGCAGCCCTGGTGCTCCGTGGCTGGGCGCTGAGGAGGGGGACCGCTCTTCTGCTAGAGCGTTTGCAGCAACGCTGCAGTCAGACACGCAGCATAACTCCTAGCCAAGCCTAGAACAGGTTCTAGTTTTCCATGTTCTCGTTCTCATGGACTATCTCAAATTTGTATGGTGAAACCCAATAGCGAGCCAGAGTAGATGGGCTGGGTTTGCATCTTGAGTGTTGGTTGAGAGGTGTAGACCTTGAAAGGTCTTTTTTTTTTTTTTTTTTTTTTTTTTAACTTGTTTTTTATCTTACAGACTTCTGGGACACAGCCGGACAAGAGAGGTTCCAGAGCATGCATGCATCCTATTACCATAAGGCTCATGCTTGTATCATGGTAAGGGTAGCCTCTCAGCTATGATTTGGTAGGATTTGATTAAGACATTTGTACTGCCTTATATTTTTTGTCCCTTCTAGTTTCTTAAAAAGGTTTCCTATATTGTTCCTTTTTCCCTCCCTAGATAGAGCCAGCGTAGCCATGAATGTTTACTTGACTTTGTCTTCCTGATGTCATCCTTACTACATTCTCTGAGTTTGCTTTCTTCTATATTTCCTTATGGCGATCACTATGTTTCCAGTAAGGAGGTATCTAAAACTGAACCTACAGCATCACCTCCTGTCAGAGATGACAGAGGACATCCCTTTCTAATTCTGCAGTGTGACTTTTGGGTTATGCAGTACAAAGCTATTCTAATACGTTCTGCAGAGGCAACACATAAGACATGCTGGTCTGATCTTCTGGTCTTTCTGTTTTTACTTACTTTGTTGCTTCTCATATTTACATCTCAAACAAGTCTTGTTTTTTTCTTTTCCCTTCTAACCCACTTAGGTCTCTTGGACTGTACTGCTTTTCTAACTTTTCCTTATTTGTGAACATCAGTAAACTTCATGGATATTTTAATGCAAAGGTTAAATTAGAAGAGCCTCACATCTGACTCTACTTAGCATAACCAATTTCTCTCAGTGCTTGCTGATTGTCATGCGTGAGAGTGCTTGACATGGTGCAAAGTAAATCCCGAGATTGTTGACAGCAGAGTACAAAGAAATGAGTGATTTGTTTGGTGAAATGGGGTGATCGGGAGCTGTGCTGCAGTAGGCCCCATGATAGTTGCTGCTTTTTTGGAAGGTGTTTGACGTTCAGCGGAAAGTCACCTACAAGAACTTGAGTAGCTGGTACAAGGAGCTGCGGGAGTTCCGCCCAGAGATACCTTGTATTGTAGTGGCCAACAAAATTGATGGTGAGTATAGATTTTCCTCACAGGGTTATGATGTGGTTCTTTTCTGACTTGGCTAATGAAAGAATGTCATTTGTCTGTTTGGTCCAGATAAGATCATGAATATACAGTGGTGGGTTTTAGGGCATGATTGATCTTATCTAGCAGAAGACTTTCTCCTTGGATGAGTCAATACAGCCCCAGATCCACTGACTGTGCAGGGACTCGAAGGCAAATTGACCTGATATGGGAATCCATACTGTAGGCACTGCATCGGTGTAGGTGAATCCTGCTCTTAGTTTTCCCATGTGAGAATAGGGAGTGCTTCAAGAAACTCTCACCCGTGCTTTGTTTACTGTGTTCCATTAGCAAAAGGAAATAAGCAGTCTGCACCTCTTAGCACATGTCCAACCTGCTGAATCGCTTATCCAGCTTCCTGCTTTCTGCAAGGAGGTAGGGAACATCTCCCCGGGCAGTGTTCCCTGGCAAGCATTTGGAGTCTGAACTGCTTCTGCTGTTGTTTCCATTAGAAAAGATGGATAGCCTGGACTCATTCTCCTTCTGTGTTAGTATACGGACTGTTTTTCTACCAAAACTTTCAGCTAATACTGCTGTGTCAATGTGGCCTGTAGGTATCTTGTAGATTTGTTCCATAATTGGAAAGAAAAAACCTCCTTGCCTACTGGGTTAGAGTAGACAGACCTAACTCTCTGTTGAATACATATATATATATATTATATATATTTACAAATATATATATAGCAGTGGAGTCGATTCTGTGCTGTGAGCCTATCTTTGCTTCACAGGAATATGGGCAGTGTGGCATAAATACAGTGGACCCATATGGTTGAAGAGTGCAAAGTGGAGGGAGAGGCATGATTAGTGTTGACAATAGTAACCAGATCACGTGGACACAGCAAAATTTGCACGGGTATATCTGGAAAACATTCACAGCTGCAGTACAGCAAGTGAACTGTGACTTTTCTGCTGCAAAGCATTCTGCATTTACAGTGCATCAGAATTCATCTGTATTTTAGTTACAAACAACAAAAAATCTTTCCTTTGTGTATTTTCTTGTCAACTGTTTGCTGCTCCAGTCACTTCTAAAATCCTCTGACTCATGGGGAGGACTATCCTGGTCTAACATTGGAGTGAGGAGGCCCTAACACCTAGATCAGGCTCTCTTCCATCAACCCATGCTTATGCTGGCATTCTGCCTACATTGGCATTACTGCTACAATGATGTCTCAATGAATACTTTTTATTTTTTTATCTCCAGCGGATATGAAGGTGACCCAGAAAAGCTTCAACTTTGCCCGGAAGTTCAATTTGCCCTTTTACTTTGTGTCTGCTGCAGATGGCACCAATGTAGTGAAGGTAAAACCAACACAGTCCAATGACACAGAGATTGCTGACGACACAGATTGCAGAAGAGGGGCTACCACTTCTGGATGGTTACTTATGTTGGTTCTGGTAGCTATAGGTTGCTGTGGATTTTTTTCCTTAGAGTGTGGAAATAGACAGTTTCCCTATCTTGAAGAAACCCAGCATCCTTTACTTGTAGTAACAAGCACTCTCCTTTTCATCAGGTCTTCAATGATGCTATTGAACTGGCAATTGCTTACAAACAGAACTCAGGTGATTTCATGGATGAAGTCATGCGAGAGCTGGAGGTAAGAAAACTGTATACTTACTGCACTCCTCCCTCCCCTAAGTGCTTAGCAGCTCTGCCCTTTTTCCCCTCAGGGAAAGCTGACAGCATGCACCAAAGGGTGAAGCTTTGCTTGCTTGGAGAGAGTTGCTCTATGCTGGTGATACTATGGGGTTTGTGGGCTGCCCATGCCCAGTTTGGAGTGGATGTGGTGGTGACACTTAGGAGAGCTCATGCTGTCCTAGGCAGAGTTTGAAATTGAAATTACCACAGCAAAACAGAATGTGGCTGTTGCTCTCAGGTTTCTCAGAGTTTCTTGTCTTGCTCCTTTTCAGAGCTTTGACCTGAGCTCCCTTTCAGAGCAGAAGAGTGAGAACTTCTCAGAAACAGAGGAGAACTGCCCTGAAGAGAAACTCCCATCTGCTTAATGCTTTGGATCCCCATTTTATTGTTTCCCATTCCCTGTATTTCTGGGGTTAGTTAAAGCTGTCTTTCAAGGAAGAAAGCGACCTTCTCATCCACTTGGCACTCTGGTGGTGAACAACTGGGCCTTTCCCCTTCTTGCAGTGACTGTCTGAGCACAGCCTTCCTTGAGCGGGCCCTGCACTCCGTCAAGGAGAGGGCAAGAATAGGCACATGATTGCTGGTTGCAGCATGTTCCTTAGAGGCTGAGCTTGCTGGAAGAGCTTAGCCACTTCCGGATCTGCAGGGAAGAGTCCTGCCCAAATGCTTTAATAGTACCTACTGAAGAAAATAAAAAAAAAACCACTAAAGAACTTTTTATAAAGCTTCAAGCTTGGATCTGCACTTTTGTTATAGGGCAGTCCAGTTCCTGCAAAGCATTAGTCAAACTGCCAGAGCACCTTATTACTTTGTAGCTTATATAACACTACCTCTCCCTCCACTTATTTGGTCTCTGCTGCCCTGTTTCTCTGTGTTTCCCTTCCCATTTTGTTGTGGAGCAGCCAAACGCAGTACGCTGCTGGACTCGGGATCTCTCTTTTAAGATGTGCTAGAGCTGAATGGGATAGACTTGTCCCACCCTAGACTGATAGAGGTGGTTGCTGCTGATCCAGTGTATGGATCCAAAGGCTTGGTATGTATTCCAAAGAGCCAGATATATCCTCAAGCAGGCGCACACATACTCGACTCATGTGACTTGCAAAACTGATTAGAACAGATAATCACAGATACCAGTAAAGATACCGCTCTTAAACAGCACTCACATGAACAAAACTGAGTCTTCTACAGATGATCATGATTCTTATCAACATGTACAGATACCCAAGGGGAGAATGCAAAGAGGATGGGGCCAAACTCTTCTCAGTGGTGGCCAGTGACAGAACTAGGGGTAATGGGTACAAGTTGAAATACATGAAGTTTCATTGCATATGGAGAAGAATTTCTTTGCTGTGAGGGTGACAGAGCCCTGGAACAGGCTGCCAAAAGAGGTGGTGGAGTTTCTTTCCCTGGAGCTATTCAAAACCCACCTGGATACCACCCTGTGCCACGTGCTCTGGGTGTCCCTGTTTGAGCAAGGGGACTGGATCTCTAGAGGTCCTTCAAACCTCAACCGTTCTGTGATTCTATGATTGATATTCATTAGTGAAGCATAAACATATTTCCTTCTTAAACTTGCGAGCAGCTCACCTCCATGGATCCCTTTAATATTACCCTTAAGGCGAATTAAGGGCATTCAGACTTTCTAATATCCATGCCCAGATACCAGACTACTTGGTCATCAATTCAGACCTCAGGCTTTTCCAGATGTGCCTCTCACCTTGTTTGTGTGCTATTCCAACTGGACATTTGCTTGTGAATTGCACATGCACACGGGGTGCCCCCCGTACCTGACCCTAGACCCGTGGTGTTTCCAATCCTTGCTTCCAGGCCAGGGGGCCCCTAAGACCCGCATTCCGTTCTCCTGGTGCTGGCAGTCACCAGGAGACACAACACACACGGAACAGTGTGGAGTTACACAGAAAATGATTTCAAATAGCTTTTATAAAGAAGCTAACAGACCGGTGATTAGCTACAAGGCTCAGTTAGATGAGCAATCTGTTTATGTTTGACAGGTGTCTTTATTTATCCCCTACTCTCCATTTTCCCATGCTTATACTTTCCCCCCATCTCCCTTGACCAAGAGGGAGTCCTTCCTCTGCCCTAGTCTCCTTCCAAATAAACAACCCACAAACAGTAACTTTTTCCCATTGCCACCCAGTTTTGCTGCATCAATATCTGTATTTGGCATTTCAGATGTGGTTGCCTATTTTATCTTCAGCTTCTTGAAGAAGAAGTTGAACTTGGTTGAACTCCAACTTGGTTGGACTAGATGATGTCTAAGAGGTCCCTTCCAACCTTAATCATTCTGTGATTCTGTGATTCTGTTATTCTGTGATTCTGTGGTTCTATGTTATTACTGATGCTGTTTTCTACGTAGTGCCAGCCTTGCCAGATTCCACTGTCCCAAAAGACCTCAGCAATCCCTTCAATTGTATGTGAAGCTTGGCTGTTTCCCATATTACTTCCCTTTAACCACTTGTAAAATCTGTCTGTTGATCATAGCTCTGCCTGTACCTCTTGTCAGCTTCCCGCTCTCTATTTCTCATGTCAGGCGGCTCATTTAGCAAACCCTTAAGCCACATCCTAGCCATCCACTTGATCTCTACTTCCCCAAATCTTCTTCATGCTGCATCATCTTTCCAGGCCTTGCTGTGCCAGCCTTCTCCATCCCATGGCTACCAGTGTGGCTCGAGCAGCCTCCTGTCCTGTCTGTGCGGGCAGTTCCAACCCCTGGGGTGACCCCTTTGCCTTTGTGGCCAACTGGCCGCGCACAGCCTCGCTTTTCAGGTCCTGTCTATGGAAGTCCCCGTCGTGCCCCCAAGACGGAACTGGACTGAGGCAAGGTCAGCTCTGGAAATAGGCAATTTTATTTGTGGAATTGAGTAAAGGTTCAGGGTTTGTGGTCAGTCGGGGGAGGTGGGCAGGGCAGAGCAAGCCGTTGGCCCCGCGGATGCCTCTGGCTCAATGGGCACTGCCCGAGGGGGAAATGGTTGCCGCACACTGCCCCCGATCCTGTTTGTCCTGCTCAGGGCCTATTTCTCTTTAGGGTGTTCAGCAGCTGCTCCACCCCAGTAAAAAATTCCACGAGCTTGTGGCGTGGGTAGGGGCAGGGATTGGGCCGGTACGACTGTGTTGGCACTGGCTTATAGAATTGGTTGAAGCCAGAGGATGAATGACCCCATCTCCATGATGATTCCTGCGCTGCGCTTATGTGGCTCACGATCCAGTTGTAATAGTGCTGGACGGAGCTGTAGACTCCGGGTAGTTGCGGTCTTGCGCAGCCTTTTCCCCAGCTGGTGACACCCACAAGCCAGTAGAAGTCGCCAATTTGATCTTTGCATATAAGGGGGCCACCGCTGTCACCCTGCAGTGCAAGAGAGAGGTTTGAGGTGTTGCTTGGTGGGTTGTGGCAGGGCTGTCCCCACTGCCGTGGTCTGGCTTATTGTCCTTTCCTACCTGGCAAGTGCCAGTGCCACCTTGCGGAAAGCCAGCACACAGATGGGTTTTCTCAATGATCCATGCATTCCAGTCGCTGCGGTTGCAGATGCGGATGTCAATGAGGTTGACAAGAGCTTCCTGAAGGATGTAAGGTAGTATCTTAGCTGTGGACATAAAAAGGAATTGGCACCTGGCAGCTCATTGCCATTTCTCCGTCCCTGTTTGGCTGAACTCCTTCCCAAAGATCTGGCTTTGGGTCTCGAGGGGCATGTTTACAGGTGCTTCCCTTCCATCTTGCTTTGGGTAACAGGCCAAGGCCATCTCTCTGCAGGTGAAGGTCCCTTTGACTTGAGCCAGGCTTTTGGCTCTGCTCTCCCGGTAGCCCAGTCCCCCCTCGACAGCGCGCCGTGCTGCCCTTGGCGAACACCAGCACTTGTTGGGAACTCACCTCCTTCATACATGGCACCCCAACCACCAACGTAGCAAGGTGACAGTTTTGACACTTGGACTGAGCTATCAGCGACGCATGCCAGCTGTACATAGTAGTTGCACTGCACAGGTTGGTCCAACTGCAGCAGCGCAAGGTCATGTACGTGTGTGACGTTATTATAATGTTCATGAATAATTAGCGTCTTGATATAGCGCACTTGGGCCTCAGGGCCCAGCTCATATAAATTGGAGGTACCAATCACCAAGCGCCACAGCTCAACATAGCTGGAAGAGAGATGGAGAGAGGGGTTAGAGAGCACAGTCAAGGTATCGACTGTGTTGTGTGGGTGTCACGGTCCTGCAGCCACCTTACCTGGCGTTTATGAAGCAGTGAGCTGCTGTGAGGACCCATTCGGCGGTGATGAGTGACCCTCCACAGATGTGTCCAGTACCTTCCGCCCAGGGCACCTGGATGCTGACGATCCAGGGCCAGGAGCCTGGCTGAGCATTCCAGCCGCCCACAACGCGCATCGTGTTGTTGTAGGAAGACACAGTCCGGACCCCGCAGCCCCATCTGCAGTCAGAAGGTGGTCAGTGCTCTGCTCGGCTCCCTGCTCCCCTCGGGCAGGGGGTCCTCCATGGTCCCCCCTGCTCCCGCCCCAGGAGGCAGCATGCGGCCAGCGCGGGCAGGGCAGCCGCAGCCCTGCAGGAGGATGTGCCGCGTGCCGGGGAGGGCTGAGCCCCTGTCCTGGCCCAAACGTGGTGCCGGGGAGGGCTGAGCCCCTGTCCTGGGCCAGACGTCGTGCCGGGGAGGGCTGAGCCCCTGTCCTGGCCCAAATGTGGTGCCGGGGGTGGGGCTGAGCCCCTGTCCTGACTCAGACGTGGTGCCGGGGAGGGCTTAGCCCCTGTCCTGGGCCAGATGCTTCCCGTGTAGCCCTGGGCCACGAGGCTCCCTGTAAGGCCCTCCCAAAGCCTTGGGCTACTTACAGGCAGTTGTCATACGCGTCCTGCACGGGCCAGCACGCGGCCAGCAGCAGGAGCAGGAGCAACAGCTTCATCTTGGCCAGCGGCACGAGGCAGCTGCTGGTCGCGCCGAGCGGCAGCGGAGCCGGTTCCGGCAGTGTGTGTTGGGCCGGCGCCGTGGCGCAGAGCCCATGTCACAGAGCCGCTGGTTCCGGAGCGCGGGGCTCCTGGCGGGGTCCGTGGGGGCTGCGATGGGGAGCCCCTCTGGAGCGGCGCGGATGGGGCTGAGGGTGCGTGGCCCACGGCTAAGGTTGCTTATAGCTGTGACAGACGTGGTGATGACAAATGGAAGAGGTCCCGCACGCCCAGACGACGACAGTCATGCACACCAAACAGTTAGAGGCACAGGCAGAACACTGCACCCTGGCCACGTTGCGCCAGCCCCATGGGCAGCATTACCTACTCGCTGTTAACAAGCAATAGTGCCCTTCTGGTTCAGCCCAGCCTGGGGTCGCAGAGCTGCCGAGTCCCGTGGTATCTGCATGTAATGCCCTAACAGCACCTGGGTTAGGTGTTAACTACGCCTCATGCCTCAGCAGGGATGGGCAGGAGCTTGAGGTGCCCCCATGACCGACTGCAGCGGTTGCTGACTTTATTTCAACACAAACAGCACTGGAAGGTGGCCTTCTATTTTTTACAAAAAGAGCTATGTCAAATGATTGCATCAGCTGACTGCCTCTCAGTTGAGTGGATCGGCTGGTGTAAAGGCTTTTCCCTAAGTTCATTGGAGAACATTGAACATCTCCCCGAGTTAGCCAGACCAGCATGGGGGGAAGCATGAAGGAGGCTCTGCAGCCTCCTCAGGAAGCAGGGCACACACGTCTTTGCCAAAGGTTGGCAGGCCTGGTTAAACCCTTCTAGGCAAGATGGGGAAAGGGGAGAGTCGCATCGGGGTAATGTGGCTCAAACGGGGATGCCGCCAGTGGGGAAGAGCACACGGGACAGGACCATGCAGGGTCCTCTTGCCCCACTCCTGCACACCCAGTTACCTCCCGAAATACCCGTACAGCCCTGCATGCAGCACGGGGAACAAACGGGAGGAACCGCACATGTGTTTGCTGTCACAGGGCCCGTGCTGCTGAGTGATGGCATGAGGGGAGCAAAAGAACCAGACACCAACGGAAAGGTCTTGCTTCACCATTAATATTACGGCAATACAGAATGATGCATTTAACAAAAAACCAAAACTATGCGCTTGGTTTTAGCAGCCAACCAAATAGGCAAGGCAATGCACCTAACAGTTACTATGCGAGAAAGAGAATAGTGATGAAAAAAAAGGCACATCACCAATTGCCTAAACCCGTTACCATCAGCCAGATCCGCAGTCGCTGGGGCGTGGGGAGCCCCTGTGACAGCGCGGATCTGCAGACCCTTCCCGGCAACGGGCAGGTCTTAGGCGGTGTGTCCCGCAAGCGAGGTCTCCAGAGCCGCAGCAAGAGGCTCCAGCTTTTACAGAGCCAAGCCAGCACATCCAGACAACCTGCATGTTCCCTGTGAGCGGTAACACCTGGTGGGGAATACCTTCCCTGGCACCCAGGACCAGGACTAGCCAGAGCCCAGAGCTCAGATGGGAGGGTTCCCTTCAAGGTCAAAAACAGATGCATGAGGGCCTACAAAAACTACAGTTTAATAAGTCTCCGTGCAGGCTGGCAGGAGCGGCCCGGCAGGGCCACGTGCAGGTCGGCATGAGCAGGTCCATGGGCCGGTTCTGGGCACTTCTACAAAGGCAGGGCTGTATTCAGCTGCAAGTCAATCCTGGCTCGGGCCTGTTGTTCAGGCCCTAGCAGTTCAGGGCATGATCCCATTGCAATTACAGAGACAGAGCGGGATAGCTTACGTGACTGGAATGTTGTCATGGACAGCTATGTGCTCTTCAGGAAGGACAGGCTGGGAAGGCGAGGTGGTGGAGTTGCCCTTTAGGTGAGAGCAACTGGAATGTGTGGATCCTGCCTAGGGTGGATGAAGAGAGAAAGGAGAGCGTGTGGGGAAGGATTAATGCACAGGCCGATATGGGAGACTCTGCTGTAGATATTTGCTAAAGGCCACCTGATCAGGAAAGGGAAGTCCATGAAGTCTTCTACAGACAGCTGGAAGTAGCCTCATGATCACGGGCCCTGGTTCTCATGGGGAACTTCAACCACCCTGATATCTGCTGGAAAGTCAACCCAGTTGGACACAAACTGTCTTGGAGATTCCTGCAGGGTATTGATGATAACTTTTCGACACAGGTGGTGGAAGAGCCAAGCAGGAGAGGTGTGCTGCTGGACCTGGTACTAACAAATAAAGAAAGACTTGTTGGAAATGTGAAGGTTAAGAGTAGCTGTGGTTGCACTGATCATCAGATGGTGGAGTTCAGGATCCAGCCAGGAGGAAGAAGGACAATAGATAGGATTGCAACCCTGGACTTCAGAGGGGTTGGCCTCTTCAGAGAGGAATGGAGGAATCTCATGGGTTAGAGGCTTAGGAGGAAGGAGGGGTCCAGAGAGACAGTTCATATTCCAGCATCACTTCACAGAATCACAGAATGGTTGAGGTTGGAAGGGACCTCTAGAGATCATCTCCCTGCTCCAGCAGGGACACCCGGAGCACGTGGCACAGGGTCGCATCCAGGCGGGTTGGGAGATCTCCAGAGCAGGAGCCTCCCCAGCCTCCCTGGGCAGCCCGTTCTAGGGCTCTGCACACTCACACCAAACAAGTTCCTCCTCATGTGGAGAGGAAACTGCCTGGGTTTCAACATGAACCCATTGCCCCTTGTCCTGTCACTGTCCACCACCAAGAAGAGTTTGGTCCCTTCCTCCCTCCATTCTCCCATTAGGAGAATGTTGATAAGATCCCCTCTCAATTTTCTCTTATCCAGGCTAAACAGGCCTGACTCATTCACTCCTTCCTCATACGAGAGATGCTCCAGTCCCTTAATCATCTTTGTTGCCCTCCGCTGGCCCCTCTCTGGAAGCTCCACGTCCCTCTTGTCCTGGGCAGCCCAGAACTGCCCCCAATGCTCCAGGTTTGGCCTCCCCAGAGCTGAGCACAGGGGCAGGATCCCCTCCGTGCCCTGCTGGCAACGTCCTCCTCATGCAGCCAGGAGCCCGTTGGCCTCCTTGGCCACGAGGACACACTTCCTCCAGGTTCAGGACTGGTGCACTCCTATGAGTAAGAAATCAGGCAGGGGGTACATGAGACCTGGGTGGATGAGCAAGGGGCTCGTGGCAAAAATCAAACAGAAGATGACAGCATGCTGAACGTGGGAAAAAAGGGCAGGCTCCCTTGGGAGCAGTATGGGAATGCTGTCACAGTATGCGGGGATGTGATGAGGAAGGCTAAGGCACATCTGGAATTAAATCTGACAAGGGATGTCAAGGACAACAAGAAGTGGACAGATTGGACAACTGGGTGGTGAGAAACCTCATGAAGTTCAATAAGGGCAAGTGCAAGGTCCTGCCCCTGGGGAGGAATAAGGCCATGCATCAGTACAGGCTGGGGCCAGACCTTGTGGAGAGCAGCCCTGCAGAGAAGCACCTGGGTGTTGTAGTGGACGACAAGTTGACCAGGAGGCAGCAGGGTGCCCTGGTGGCCAAGAAGGCCAGTGGGATGCAGCGGTGCCTCAAGAAGAGCATCTCCAGCAGGTTGAGGGAGGGGATGCTGCCCCTCTGCACAGCCCTGCTAAGGCCACATCTGGAGACTGTCCAGGGGTCCCCAGGACCAGAGGGACGTGGAGCTGCTGGAGAGAGTCCAGCACAGGGCTACGAGGATGATCAGGGGCCTGGAACATCTGCCCTGTGAGCAAAGGCTGAGGGAGCTGGGCCTGTTCAGCCTGGAGAAGAGGAGGCTGAGGGGGGACCTGATCAGTGTCTATAGATACCTCAAGGGAGGCAGTGGGGAGGAGGGGCCGGCCTCTTTTCAGTGGTGGCCAGCGATAGGACTAGAGGAAACGGCCACAAGCTGAGGCACCAAAAGCTCCACAGGAACTTAACAAAACTTTTCTTGACAGTGAGGGTGCCAGAGCCCTGGAACAGGCTGCCCAGGAAGGTTGTGGAGTCTCCTTCTTTGGAGATGTTTAAAACCCGCTTGGACGCAGCCCTGTGCCACGTGCTCTAGGTGACCCTGCGTGAGCAGGGGGTTGGACTCGATGACCTCTGAGGTTCCTTCCAACCTTAAGGATTCTGTGATTCTAAGAGGGGCTTCTTCAAACACATCAGTAGTAAAAGGAAGACTAGGGAAAACGTGGATCCTCTTCAGAATGGGGTGGGTACCCTGGAGACAAAAGATACAGAGCAGGCAGAGTTACCGAATGCCGCCTTTGCTTCAATCTTTAGGAAGGCCAGTCTCTGGAATCCCAGACACTGGAGGCAAGAGAAGTCTGCAGAAAGGAAGACTTGTCCTTGGTTGAGGAAGACGAGGTTAGCGATCACTTAGGCAAACCTGACAGCCACACATCCATGGGCCCTGATGAGATGCACCCAGGAGTGCTGTGAATGCTGCTGGGTATATCATTGCTAAGCCACTCTGCCAGGAGAGCTTCAGGGTAGACATTAGGAAGAATGTCTATGTGGAAAGAGTAGTCGAGCATTGGAACCGGCTGCCCAGGGAAGAGGTGGAGTCCCTGTGGCTGGCAGTGTTGAAGAAGGGTGGAGATGAGGCACGCAGGACCATCATTTAGCAGCTGTGGTGTTGAAGGGGTGATAGTTGGGCTCAGTGATCTTGAATGATCTGTGGTTGGAATCTTTTCCAATCATAATGATTCTATGATTTTATTATCTTTGAAAGGTCATGGAGATCAGGAGAGGTGTTTGAGAACAGAAAGAAAGCCGGTGTCATGCCAGTTTTCAAAAAGGGCAAGAAGGAGGCAACTACAGGGCACTGTGCCTCAGCATCCTCTCTGGGGACGTGATGGAACAACTTTTCCTGGACGTGGAGGACAAGAAAGGTGATCAGGAACAATCAGCATGGATTCACCAAGGGAAATCAAACAGAACCCATCTGAAAGCCGCCTTTGATGGAATGACTTGCTGGGTAGATGAGAGGAGAGCAGGGGATGTTGTCTAGCTTGAGGTCAGCAAGGCTTTCGACACCGTCTTCCGTAACATCTCCAAAGGCAAGATCAGGACATACAGGCTAGACACGTGGACCGTGAGGTGGACTGAAAACTGCCTGGCTGGCAGAGCCCGGAGGGTCGCGACCAGCGGTGCGGTCTGGTCGGAGGTCTGTGTCCAACAGTGTCCCCAGGGAGAGACGGGCAGAGAGGAACCTCATGAAGTTCAACTAGAGCAGGTGCTGGGGAGGAGTAACCCCGGGTCCAGGACACGCTGGGGAGCAGCCCTGAGGAGAAGGGCCCGGGGTGCTGGGGGACAGCAGGGTGTCCCCGAGGCAGCGGTGGCCCTGGTGGTCCCAAGGGCTGCGGCCCGGCACCGCGCGGGGAAGAGCGTCGGCAGCAGCCGCAGGGAGGGATCCGGCCCCTCTGCCCGGCCCTGGGGAGGCCCCGGCTGCAGCGCTGGGAACAGGGCTGGGAACGGGCACCCGGAGCGGCCGCGGGAGCGGGGAAGGGCTGCGGGCACGAGGAGGGATGGAGCAGCTCTGCCCGGAGCAGGGCTGGCAGACGCGGGCCTAGGCAGCCTGGGGGAGAGGAGGCTGCGGGGGAGCCTGTCCGGAGGCAGCGCCAGGAGGATGGAGCCAGCTCCTCAGCGGGGTGGCGGCAGCCCCGGGGACAGCGGCACCACCCGGCACACAGGAGGGGGCACCGGGACACGGGGAGAGGCCACCGAGCCCTGCGGCAGGCAGGCAGCCGCGCGGTCCCTTTAAGGCGAGATCCGCGGCGGACTACAGCTCCCGGCACGCCCCGCGCGGTCACGTGGCCGCCGGCGCCGGTCAGGGGGCGGCGGCAGGTGCAGCGGCGGCGCCTCGCTCTGGTCTACGGGTGCCGAGCGGGGCCCCCCGGTGTGGGCGGTAGCCGCGGAGCGATGGGCGCCCCGAGCGGCGCCGTGCGGCCCGGGCCGTGGGCGCTGCTGGCGCTGCTGGCGCTGTGCGGGGCCGCCGCGCTCCCGGGGCCGCCCAGCTTCGTGCTGCTCCTGGCCGACGATCTGGGCTTCGGCGACCTGGGTAGCTACGGGCACCCGTCGTCGGGCACGCCGCACCTGGACCGCCTGGCGGCCGGCGGGCTCCGCTTCACCGACTTCTACAGCGGCGCCGCCGTGTGCAGCCCCTCGCGGTAGGCGGCGGGTCGCGGGCCCGGCGGGCAGGCCGAGGGTCGCGGGTCGCGGGCGCCGCTCGAGCCCGCGCGGCCGCTGTCGCCCGCAGGGCCGCGCTGCTCACCGGCCGCCTGCAGACGCGCTCCGGGGTCTATCCGGGCGTGTTCAGCCCGGACTCGCGCGGCGGGCTGCCGCTCGCCGAGGTCACCGTGGCCGAGGTGCTGAAGGCCGCGGGCTACTCCACGGCCCTGGTCGGCAAGTGGCACCTGGGGCTGGGCCTCCGCGGCGCCTTCCTGCCCACGCGGCAGGGCTTCGACCACTTCCTGGGGGTGCCCTACTCGCACGACCAGGTGAGCGGGCGCCGCGGGGGAGGGCCCACGGGTGGGTGGTGGGAAGGGCCCACGCGGCCGGAGGAAGGGGGCCGAGGCACCCCCGGGCTGTGCGGGGGTGTCTGTGCAGGCAGGGCCGCTGCCAGGCGCCGAGCGCACTGCCCACGCTGTCCTGCCATGCACGTGAAGGACAAAGCGCCCATTTTTCCTGCTTTCTTGCTTTTTTTCTTTTCTTTTTTTTTTTTTTTTCTCTCTCTCGCTCCACAGGGCCCCTGCCAGAATCTCACTTGCTTCCCGCCTGACACCAAGTGTTTTGGGACTTGTGACCAGGGCTTGGTGCCGGTCCCGCTGCTCTGGAACCAGACTATTGTGCAGCAGCCAGTCTCCTTCCCCGATCTAGTGCCCCGCTACAACAAGTTTGCCCGGGACTTCATCACCGACTGTGCCCGGAAAGGCCTCCCCTTCCTGCTCTACTACGCATCCCACGTAGGAGAGGGGCAGGGCTGCCCTGCGAGCAGGGGTGGGGGGAAGCCCCAGGAGAGCACTCTGACCTCTCCAGTCCCAAATGTGTACGGAGAAGTCAGAACATGGGGGGAAAGAAGGGGAAAGACCCTGACCTGAGTGGCTCAGAGTTGGCATTCCTTGTGCTCCAGCCTCATTGCATCATCCCAGTAACGTTCTTGGGCTGTTTTGGCCCGGGCTTTGCCAGCTCCACTGGGCTAGGAGTGCACACAGGGCAGTGTTTCATTGCCTTTGAAACTCCCCATCCTCTGCGGCCCTGAGCTCTTTGTGTTGTTTCCGAGAGCCTGGGCACAAGCCCCCTGTCATCCTGTGGGTCTTGTCGCCCGTCTGCGTTCCCCAGCCGGGCTGTTCGCCGAGTGCAGCAGCTGGGCGCGTCTGCGGCAGCGCGGGCAGCAGTGCCCTCTCCCCTCTCGCCAGCATACGCACTACCCCCAGTTTGCAAGCCGGGAGTTCACAGGGCGGTCGCGGCGGGGCCCCTTTGGTGATGCTCTCCTGGAGTTCGACGCCTCGGTGGGACACTTGCTGCAGGCACTGGAGGACAATGGGCTAACAAACAGGACCCTGGTGTTTTTCACCTCTGACAATGGGTGAGTGGGCTCGGCAGGGAACATCCTCGTTGGTAAGGTTCTCCTGGCCTTGGTGTGCAGGATGAGGTCTTGGGTGGCTGGAGCACAACTGATGTGGGTGGCATTGCCAGGTGAGATCCTGCTGACCTGGAATGAGGCTGGAGGTAAATGTTGTTCTGGATAGGACCTGTTGCATGAACCCTTTGCCCCTGGGAGTCAGCTGTGCTGCTTCTCCTGGGCAGAAGCTCCATGGGCTTGGGACCAGGGATGTGCTGCTGTGATGCCTCCCAGTCTCCTTCTGTGTTGGTGGCCTTGATCACTAGTTGCTTGCTTGGCCATCTCACACACCTCAGCCTCCTCAGCCCGTACTGCCTGATGGAAAGGCTCACGTGGGTGGCAGGGCCACTCATTGGTGTCTTGTCACAGTAGGACCATGGCCCCACTGATAGCATTAGAGAAAGGGTAGTGTGGAGCTGCAAGACTAACAGGAGCTGGTTCCTCCCTCTTCCCTCACAGCCCTTCCACCATGCGGATGGCACGTGGGGGCAGTTCTGGCCTCCTGAGGTGTGGGAAGGGAACAACGTATGAAGGTGGCATGCGGGAACCAGCAGTGGCTTACTGGCCGGGCCGCATCACTCCAGGTGAGACCTGGCACCGCTCGTCCCTTGTGTGCTGAGGCAGGGGTGTTGTTGCAGTTCAGTTTTCCTGGGACAGGTGGAGGAGGCAAGAGAGGTGGTGAATCACACAGAATCACAGAATATTCAAGGTTGGAAGGGACCAAGGTGAGGATGATGGGAATGGGATCAAATGCTTAAACTTCTCCTTGTTCCTTGCTGTGGTGGCAGGAGTGACCCATGAGCTGGCGAGCACCCTGGACATCCTGCCAACACTGACTGCCCTGGCTGGAGCAACTCTCCCCAGCGTTGCCCTGGATGGCTATGACTTGAGTCCAGTGCTGTTTGGCTCAGGAAAGGTGGGTTCTATGGGCCGGTTATGGCTGGTGCAGCACATAGAGGTGGAATACGGAAAGGGGCTGTCTGCCTGATTAGTAGTCCCAGTCTCACAGAATTACAGAATGGTTGAGGTTGGAAGGGACCTCTAGGGATCATCTAGTCCAACCTTCCTGCTCAGGCAGGGACACCTAGAGCACGTGGCACAGGGTGGCATCCAGGCGGATTTTGAAGACCTCTGGTTTGAGGGTCTAGGGAGAGCCATGAGCTGAGAGATTTTTCTGGTCTTGAACCAGGCCATGCCATAGAATTCCTGGGCATCTCCAGTCTGCTCTGAGGCGTGGAGACCACTGCTAGCAACTGCTGTGTGTTACCAAGCCCTAACACCCAGGGCTGCAGTGTCAGGACAGAGCCCCAATTTCTCTAAATTGGGAGCAAGTAGGATGCTGCTGCTCACTGCTGCCCTTGCTCCAACCTACCTGCAGTATTAGGACCTCTGTATGACTCCTTACAGTCTCTTCCTGGCCCTGTCCCAAACTCTCCTCTAGCCTCAGTGCTGCATAGGTGACCTCAGCTCTTTTGCTCCTTTCAGAGTCCCCGTCAGACAATGTTCTACTACCCACCGGCCCCTGATCGTCTGCACGGGCCCTTTGCAGTCAGGCTTGGGAAGTACAAGGCTCATTACTTCACACAAGGTCAGCATTGCCTCCTCTTTTCTACATGGGTGACTTGGTCTGATCTGTTTTTGCTGCCCAAAGCTCAATGAGAGGAAACTGAGCTGTGCTTGGGGGCTTCTTTTGCAGGCTCCTTTCACAGTGATACTACCCCTGACCAGGCTTGCCATGGACTGACTCCACTGACTCCCCATGTGCCCCCGCTGCTCTTTGATCTGGAGTCGGACCCTGCTGAGCATTACGATTTGGTGCAGAGTGGTGCAGGGCCAGAAGTTCTGCAAGTGCTGAAGGAGATCAAACTGCAGAAGGTGCTTTTTGAGCAGCGCATGGAGTTTGGAGCAAGCCAGATCGGGAAGGGCAGAGATCCAGCCCTGCAGCCCTGCTGCAACCCAGACTGCACCCCCAAGCCCTCGTGCTGCCGCTGCTCCTAGACCTGTGCTGCCCCAGCCCCTTCACACTCCCACCTTGCCCCAAACCCGCCCGAGCCCTCTGCTGACAGTGCAGCCGCAGAGCAGCCAGGAGTTTGGCTCAGTGACAGCCTGGACCATGGGGTACTGCTGTGGTGAGCTGCATGTGCGGGAGGATATCAGCTCTCCTGGGGAGCGTTCAGCAGACCTTGCACTCCACATTGGATCTCCTGGCTGAAGTTTCCTTACAGGAAAAAAAGAAAAAAGGGAAGGGTCCATAGTACAGCATCATCTCCCAAGTCAGCGTAAGAAAACATGATAAAGCAAAGGGCATGTCTCAGTATCCTCTAATCACAACTTACCGGAGGTGTGCTGTGGCACCCTTAGTGGGAACAGACGTGGGAGCTGCTGCACAACCACCTGACAGGGATCATGAGCACTCAATTTTGTAGCATCCATACCCAAATTCGGTATTTCAGATGCTGTTAACTAACTCATCTCAGGCTTCTGCGTTATTACTTATGTGCCTTCCTAGATGTCACTGCCCTTACCTGATTCTGTTCCCTAGCAGTCCATTCAGTTGTCTGTGATGCTTGGCTATGTCTCATGTGCCTCCCCTCTAACCTCTTGTGAAATCTGTCTATTCCTTGTAATGATGTCTGTATTATCAGTGTTTCACTCTGTATTAATTATGTTCAGCAGTTTCTCATACTGCACTCGGGAGTTTCCCTTGGTTTATTCAAATCCTTAAACCAGGGCTTAGTCGTTCACTTGCCTGTCTTGACCTGATTCTCCAAAGTCGTCTTCCTGCCGCATCGTCGTTCCCCAGGTCTCAGTCCACCAGCCTAGGCTGCCTGTGTGGCTCGAGCAGCCTCCTGTCCTGTCTGTGCGGGCAGTTCCAGCCCCCGGGTGACCCCTTTGCCTTTGTGGCCAACTGGCCGCGCACAGCCTCGCTTTTCAGGTCCTGTCTATGGAAGTCCCCGTCGTGCCCCCAAGACGGAACTGGACTGAGGCAAGGTCAGCTCTGGAAATAGGCAATTTTATTTGTGGAATTGAGTAAAGGTTCAGGGTTTGTGGTCAGTCGGGGGAGGTGGGCAGGGCAGAGCAAGCCGTTGGCCCCGCGGGTGCCTCTGGCTCAATGGGCACTGCCCGAGGGGGAAATGGTTGCCGCACACTGCCCCCGATCCTGTTTGTGTTGCTGTTTAAGCCTCACTTTCTTTTATAACCTGCAGCATCTCCTGCAGCAGAGTGAAGAACTCGGACAGCTTGTTGCGTGGAAACGGGCAGGAGCCAGGTCTGTTTGAGTATGTGGGTTTTGGCTTGTGGAACGAGGTTGCAACATAGGGTGGTGCAGTTGTCTGTGATGCTTGGAGCAGCCCCATTTGGACCAGGATCCACTGGTAATAGTGCTGAGTGGAGGTGTAGACTCCGGGTTGCTGCGCTCTCCCACAGCCTTTTCCCCAGCTGGTGATACCAACAAGCCAGTAGTAGTCGCCAGTTCGATCCTTGCATACGAGGGGGCCGCCGCTGTCACCCTGCAGTGCAAGAGAGAGGTTTGAGGCGTTGCTTTCTGGGCAATGTCAGCCCTCGGTGCTGACACTGCAGGGTCATCACTGCTTCTCTACAAGAGCGTGTTGCAGAGGTGTCTGGGCAGCACATCCCAGCTGCTGGTGCCCACGGGAGCTTGTTGGGGAGGTGCCCTGGGTCTGGGAGGGAGGGAGGGTTCTCCATGGTGTTAGCACCATGATTCCAGGTTTGTGGACAGGATTGTTCCAGGTGGGGATCTGGACCTATGGGGCCCCAGGAGCACTGGACGGTCTCACTGGGGAGAGTGTCCCAGGCAACCTGGGCCAAGGGGAACACCTCATGCTGGACCTGCAGAGGAGAAGGGGAGGTGAGCTCTGTCACAGCTGGGACCAGAGATGCTTGGGTAGCTGTCGGCAGAGCACGGGCCACGTGTATGGGGGTTGTGGCAGGGCTGTCCCCACTGCTGCTGCCCCTTCGTACCTGGCAAGAGTCGATGCCGCCTTGCTGATAGCCAGCACACACGTTGGTGCTGCTAATGGCCCCTCTATACCACTGGCTGCTGTTGCAGGTGCGGATGTCAATGAGGTTGACAGCAGCCTCCTGCAGGACTGCAGGTGTTATCTTAGCTGTGGACATAAAAAGGAATTGGCACCTGGCAGCTCATTGCCATTTCTCCGTCCCTGTTTGGCTGAACTCCTTCCCAAAGATCTGGCTTTGGGTCTCGAGGGGCATGTTTACAGGTGCTTCCCTTCCGTCTTGCTTTGGGTAATGGGCCAAGGCCATCTCTCTGCAGGTGAAGGTCCCTTTGACTTGAGCCAGGCTTTTGGCTCTGCTCTCCCGGTAGCCCAGTCCCCCCTCGACAGCGCGCCGTGCTGCCCTTGGCTTGTTGGGAACTCACATCCTTCCTGCGTGGCTCCCCAGCCGCCCACGTAGCAAGGTGAGAGCCCGGGCACTTGGAGCGAGGTGTCGGGCAAACATGCCATCTGCACGTATTTGCCGCACTGCACGGGTTGTTGCAGCTCCAGAAGGGCGATGTCGTTCCTCTGAGTGAGGTTGCTGTAGTATTCGTGTATCAGTACCCTCTTAATATTGATCACTTGGGCCCCAGGGTCTGGCTGGAGCAAGCGGACGGTACCAGCCATTATTCGCCACATCTCAGGATTGCTGGAAGGGAGATGGAGAGAGGGATTAGAAACCACAGAGCCGTGCACCGGAGGAGCCAGCGCTTCCCACCCATCGCATCAGCTTTGCGAAGGGAGAGGGACGCAGATGCCACCCTGCATGGAGACACTGTGCCATCGCTGGCGTTTTTGAAACGCCTGGGCAGTAGTTGTGCTGCAGAGCGGAGAGCTGGGCACCTGCCTGTGTTGGGTGGGTGTCCCTGGTCCTGCGGCCTCCTTACCTGGCGTTTATGAAGCAGTGAGCTGCGGTGAGGACCCACTGGTGACTGATGAGCGACCCTCCACAGATGTGTCCACTGCCTCTTTTCCACGGCACCTGGATGCTGACGATCCAGGGCCAGGAGCCTGGCTGAGCATCCGAACCGCCCACGATGCGCATCATGTTGTTGTAGGAAGACACAGCCCGGACCCCGCAGCTCGATCTGCAGTCAGAAGGTGGTCAGTGCTCTGCTCGGCTCCCTGCTCCCCTCGGGCAGGGGGTCCTCCATGGTCCCCCCTGCTCCCGCCCCAGGAGGCAGCATGCGGCCAGCGCGGGCAGGGCAGCCGCAGCCCTGCAGGAGGATGTGCCGCGTGCCGGGGAGGGCTGAGCCCCTGTCCTGGCCCAAACATGGTGCCGGGGAGGGCTGAGCCCCTGTCCTGGGCCAGACGTGGTGCCGGGGAGGGCTGAGCCCCTGCCCAGGCAGCCCTGGGCCACGAGACTCCCTGTAAGGCTCTCAAACACATTCTCCCATAACACACAGGATTAATCACAGGATGATTCATTGTGGAAGCGACCTCTGGAGATCATCTAGTTCAGCCCCCCAGACAAGCAGCGTGTTAGAGGACTGTGTCTAGATGGGTTTTGAGTATCCAAAGAAGGAGACTCCGCTGCCTCTCTGAGCAACGTCTCGGAGTAGTCTATAACCCTCATGGCCAAGAAGTTTTTCCTCAAATTCAGACAGAACTTCCCCTGCTTCCGTTTGTGGCCGTTGCCTCTTGTCCTGCTGCTGGCCACCCCTGAAAGGAGCCCAGCCCCCTCCTCCTGACACCCTCCCTTAGGGTGTTTGTAAACAGCGAGGGTCTCTTGGTCTTCTCTTCTTTGGGCTGAACAGGCCCCGCTCTGCCAGTGTTTCCTCCTAGGAGAGATGCTCACGTCCCCAAGGCCCCGGGCCACTTACAGGCAGTCGGACTGTGCGTCCTGCACGGGCCAGCACGCGGCCAGCAGCAGGAGCAGGAGCAACAGCTTCATCTTGGCCAGCAGCACGAGGCAGCTGCCGGTTGCGCCAAGCGGCAGCGGAGCCGGTTCTGGCGGTGTCCGTTGGGCCGGTGCCGTGGCGCGGAGCCCGTGTCACAGAGCCACTGGTTCCGGAGCGCGGGGCTCCTGGCCGGGTCCTTGGGGGCTGCGATGGGGAGCCCCTCTGGAGCGCTGCCCCTGTCTGCCAGCTGCTCCCGGGAGAAAAGCAGCCCCTGTGCACGCGGCCTCCACTGTCCCCTGCAGCTGCTGCCCCCCTTGTCTGTGCCAAAGTGTCCCACATGGAGCAGGGCCCTGCAGCGGGTGTGTGCTGGGTGCCCAAGAGCCGCGCGGGTTCACACCCACCGCAGCGCAGCCGCGATGGGCCAGCGGGGCGGGTTGGCACTCCTGAGCTGTGATCTCTCTGTGCACTGTGTACTTTGTGTTTGTGGGCACACGCGGTGTGCGTGTGCCTGTGCACTTGTGTGCCTGTGCACTCCTGTGTGCACACGCGTGCACTTCATGCAGGTTCACAGCCGGACACAGGGCTCCTCCGAGCGTGCACACACACCGTGGGCAGTGACAGCACGTGAGCGAGCTCTGTGTGTGGGTGTGCTAAGTGTGCGTGTCCCGTGTGAGCACGCGCTGCTCGTGTTTGTCCAGGGTTTGCGTGGTGACTCTGTGCGCACACTGTGTCTGCGTATTCACACTGTGTTGATGCATGAAGAGTGTGTGTTCGTTCTGTGTGCTTGTGCACATAAATGTGCATACTGCGTCTTTCCAACACCTGGAGCGTGGTGTGTGCGTGCGTAGGCACCGTGCGTCAACACTGTGTGTGTGCAACCTGCAGGGGTACAGTATGAAAAGTCATGTGTGTGTGTGTGTGTGTGTGTGCGTGGTGCGTGTGTGTGCAAGTGTGCAAGCGCATGTGCAAATGCATGTGCATGTGCGTGTGCAGGTGTGTATGCAAGCGCGTGTGCAAGTGCATATGCAGGTGTGTGCAAGCGCGTGTGCAAGTGCATATGCAGGTGTGTGCAAGCTAAGCGCGTGTGCAAGCTAAGCGCGTGTGCAAGCGCACGCTGCCCCGTGCGCCCGCCGGCGCCGCCCGCCGCCGCCAGGGGGCGCCGCCGCCCGCCCGGGCCGCAGAGCTCGGGACGCGGCGACAGGAGGGGGGAACAGGAGCGGGATCAGGAGTGGGAACAGGAGCGGGCAGCGCCCGCCTGCATCGCTCATCTGCATGCACTGCTCACCTGCACCGCTCACCTGCATCGCTCATTCACGTGTTGCTCACCCGCATCACTCACCTGCATCGCTCACTAACATCACTCACCTGCATCGCTCACTGGCATCACTCATCTGCATTGCTCACCGACATTGTTCTCCTGCATTGCTCACCCACATCACTCACCCACATCGCTCACCAGCATCACTCACTCACATTGCTCACTTGCATCGCTCACTGGCATCACTCATCTGCATTGCTCACCGACATTGTTCTCCTGCGTCGCTCACCTGCATCGCTCACCGGCATTGCTCACCTGCAATGCATACTGGCATCGCTCACCTGCATTTCTTACTGGCATCGTTCACTGGCATCATTCACCTGCATCACTCACCTGAATTGCTCCCCTGCATCTCCCCGGCATCGTTCCCTGGCATCTCTCACCTGCATCTCACTGGCATCGCTCAGCGGCATTGCTCACTGGCATCATGCACCAGTGTTGTGCAGCAGCATTGTTCACCAGCATCATGCGGAGGCATCGTGCATCGGCGCTGTGCGTTGGCACTGCTCACTGGCACCACGCGCCAGCATCACTCCCTGGCACTGTGAGTGATCGGCATCACTTGCCGGCATCGCTCACCAGCATTGTGCATTGGCTGCTGTCATTGGCACCACAAACCAACACCTCTCACCAGCACCAAATGCCAGCACTGACCCCACATGGCGGCACCACATACTGCAGCCCCCCAGCATGGGCCTCAGTGCAGGGGCTGCCTTTTTTCCTGGGGACCTGGGACAGCCACAAGGGAGGAAGGACTGCAGAGGGGCCTGGATCAGGGCTCCTGCTACACTCGGGGTCATGCAGGAGAGCGGGTGACCCCAACAGGGTGGACAGATCCTGTGGGCAACCCCAGGCCCTGCTTGTGCTGGGACGTGTGTTTCTGCCTGCTGGCTCTGGCTGCACATGTCACCTCCTGCTCCTGTCATCTCCTGTCATGAGGAGCAGCCCATGGCTCATAATCAGGAGCTAACTGAACACAAATCGTGATGGCTGCAGCTGCTGCAACTGTGAGGCTGCAAGGAAGCCAAAATGCTTTTAGGAGATTTGAGTTCAGATCTTGCATAACGGTGAAAACACCTCCCCGTTTTTAGTGAGCTCTATTCTCCTCTACAATATGGAGACCAACAAAGCCCTGGAACCAGTTTCCTTCTGTGTTGTCCCCTTCAGTTGAGCAGGGCAGGACAGGGCCCATGTGGGTCGCCCAAGGCTCTCTAGCAGGGCTGGATGGGCCCTGGGGTGGTGAGGAAGGAGCCAGGGCTGAGCACGGGGTGGCAGGAGAGCTCACGGGGCGCCCTGCATGAGCTGCCCCATTCAGCGCCAGCCACTGCTCCGGAGCAGCTTGACCATTAAAGGAGCTCGGGACATCCCCAGATTTCTTAGGGAGCCAATTGGGAAGTGAGCGGGACTGCCCCATGCTGCTTGCTTCCCTGCTGCCCGTGCCCCCCATGCCGGGGCTGTTGTGTCCTCTGCAGCCTGGCGTGGCGCAGGGCCGGGCCGGCACCGCCGCAGCGCTGCCGCACCAGAGACAGGGCCTTGGCGGGAGCTGTGGGAGCTCTGGGCTGCCAGACAGCTCTGGACCAACATCTCTGCCATGGGGAGCGATTGCTCCTTGCAGGAGGGGCCACATCCTGGCCATAAGGGGATGGTGGGACCTGCACCCACCTGGGGACGTGGGTCCACAGATGTGGAGCTGCTGGCCAGGGCTCCTGGGGTGGCATCAGCTGGTGACCTTCCTGGGTCAGAACAGCCCCACCGAGCCCTGTGAGCCCACGGCACTGCAGGATGCCCAAGAGGTCCCGCCATCCATCCCACCTTGTCCCTGCCTCCGCGCTCTGCGTCCTGGCTCTGCATGCACTGCTCCTCTGAGCTCCCTCAGGGCCTCCTCAGGGTGTTCCTGCTCTGGTTGTTGGCTGCTCCCTGGAGAAGCTGCTGCCGCCAACTGTGTCAGGGCCGCAGGCGGGATGAGAGGCAGGAGAGCGCCAGGCTGGCTGCTCACGGACACTGGAACCACCACTGGAGCGCAGAGGGAGTCTCGTGCCAATGTTCTCCCAGTGTGGAGCCCTGTGCAGTTCTGTGGGGTGCTCCATGGTCTGGGCTGGGGGGCTCTGATGCCTGGCTTTGTTTTCCCTCTCCCCGAGCAGCCCTGCACCCGGCACCACGGCCCTGCTCCCTGTGTGCGCCGCTCTCCCCCGTGTCCCCTGGAGCGTGTCACCCTGCCTCTCGCCTGCCACAGGTTGCTATGAGATAACGCACTGGGAGACGGAGCAGCGCCGGGCTGGGAGGCTGCAGCAGCTCGGTGCAGAGGAGACGGTGCTGCAGTCAATCATCAGATCCCCTCACCCTGCACACTGCATATTTAATGGCTCTTTGGGTCTCAGAGTTTAAATCTATCTAATGAGCATTTAACTGCTGCTCAATATTTAATGCCTCGGTGTTCGATGCAATAATGCCATGTATCATGGTGAGTGCTGGTCCATCACCCTGGGTGCTGGCAGAGGCGTGCGATGGGGGAGCACCCAGCACCGAGCACTGGAGGACCTGCTGCCTGGCACCTCTCATGCAGGTGGCAGGTTGTCCCTGTGCCTGCTGGCCTCTCTGGGGGCCCTGGCTCCTCTGGGCAGTGCAGCCGGCGCCGGAGCCGTTTGGTGCCGCATCCTTGCAGGACCGGCACCGTGGGAGCAGCTCCGCAGCGCGGGGCCAGCTCCCCATCCCGCACGGTCCTCAGCCAGCGGCGCTGTCCTACCCAGAGCTTCCGCCGCAGGATTTGCACCCTGACCCGGCAGCCCCCGGCCTGTGCTGGGGCACATGGTGCTCTGTGTGATTTTGGTGCTCCCGGGTGAGCTTGCTCAAACTGACATGTGCTGCAAAGGCTCCTGCGGGGCTGGTTCAGGTTCCCGGTGACTCTGCAGGCTCTTGCAGAAAGGTTCAATCTGAGGCCTTGACCCGAGAGCTGTTTCAGTGTCTCTGTCTGGATGACCCTGTCAGGAAGGCCTGGGGTGTCCTAATGGCAGCGCCCCACGAGCTGAACAGCAGCAGAAGCCAACACGGAGCTGCCAGACCTTCCCCTCTGGAGGAGCAAAGACTCGCTTTCTCCAGGGGATGGAGCTGCAGGCGCCTCTTGTGTCCTGTTGTGCTGCCCTTTCCTGCTGCCATTTCCCAGGCTTGGGGGGCAAGGAGGGGATGCTGTGCCCTGCCACCCCATGCCCTGCCACCCCATGCCATGTGCCTGCCATGCTGGAGTGTCGGGGCGCACACACCGTGTCCAAACTGCTGGGCCCCGGTGCTGGGACCCCCACCCTGCTCTGCTGCTGGGATGTTCTGTGGCTTCAGGGCCCTCCTTGCCCCGTCTGCGAGGGCCTTCTTGGCTGTTGGAGGTGCATCACGGAGCGGCCACTTGCAGCGTGGCTCCCCACATGCACAAGTCCAAAGGTCTATGTTAGGCAGGAGTCGCCTCTGCTCTGCTGGCCCCTCACCAAATTGCAGGGACCTCTGGGGATCGTCTGATCCAACTCCTGGGGTCAATCGGGTTGCCCGTGACTGTGTCCAGCTGGTTCTGAGTTTCTCCAAGGAGGGAAACTCCACATCCTCTCTTGGGCAACCAGCGCCTGTGTTCAACCAGCCTCACAGGGAAAAGTGTTTCCTTGTGTTCAGACTGCATTTACTGTGTTTTCCCAAAGTATATAATACACCATATTACTGTATATTACTGTATTTATCTATATCTACACTGTTACT